GACGAATGATAGTTTGATTTGACTCACATAAAACTAACTCGCGCCTTCAGAGTATTGTGAGTCATCTTTTCGTTCAACACATCGATATACAAGAAATCAACATAGCCGATACCTCGCTTTTACTTGTATGAGAATGACTGGGAGCTTAGTCAAAACTAATCTTTACATTTCTTGTACATTTGCACTGTCTCTGTCGGAAGGCGGCAATTTCATTAAAAACAATGCCCAGTGGCAAAAATAAAAGCCCATTAGTAGCCCAGGTCACTTTTCACCCGTTAACATCTGCATTTTTTACATATTAGAACCTTTATTTTCTTCTGTAACCCTGTCGCCAAGTGCTGGGCTGGGTGGGCGGAAGCTGGTTTTGGTGCAGAACTGCATTTTAGTGGCAACAGAACCATTTTTTAAGCTACGCCACCGTGCATTACAGCTCCAGTTTAGGAATCACAACACAATTATCTTTACCACAACCAGCCTAGGACGAATTTAGCGTTGGTAGGCGTACAAATGCGCATTTGAACATTTGCAATATGACCGTAACAAATGTGGCATGTTTCAACGTTATCCCTGGTGAGCGTGAGCAACTTAATCTGCGCAAATGCGGCAATAACAAAGCAATTATCTTTATCCGCGGCCAAAGGGCGTAAAGTTGCCGTGAATTGACGCAGCTACATAGTTATAACATAATTGCGTTTCTCCAGCTTCATTTCTAGTCATGGTAGTAAATATTCGCACCGGTTTTCTTCAGTATTGGCTCTGATATGGGGCGGCAAACATCCGCACTTTGGCAACACCGAAACAGTCGTTTCCGCTTCTGTTTACAATTATGAGCGCTAATTTTGAGTGAGCACGCCTTGACTACAATCTTAGCTAGTGCAGCGCACGTGAATGCTGGCAGTAACCATCAACTACTTGACATTTCTGCCCGAACAGAGGTGCATAGCGACACGTGCCAAGCCATGCTGCTGTGTATTCCTATCCGCGTAAGCCGGGTATAGGCTCTATGCAGTCATGTGTTTCGTATATATTAACCATAAAGAGGGTGGGGCGCGCTACTTCACAACAAATAATAGCCATTTAAAATGCGAAATACACCCCAATTTATTACTTTTTCGTGCATATTGATGGAAATACTGCGCACACGTGTTAAGCTCAACGGGGTATTCTGTCATATAGTGCAGCAACGTAGTCTGTTAGAATTTTCTTAATTGTTGCGTTGGCGCATTGTGTATCTGGTACGCACTATCTGTATATACAAGCGCGAGCAGGCCAGCCCTTCGACAGATTAACAACGGTTATGTCAACTGCCTGAAATTATTTGGGCGCTTTTAAGAAGAAGTAAACAAAGGTATGCTATAATTTATTATGTATTAGAATTTAACAAGAGGAAGCTTACTCTTCGAACAAACGCAGTAGATAGGTAGTTAACCATAATCAGAGCACCGTGTGATTAGATGCATTTATAATTTTCTCCTTCTCCTCATAACATGAAACGTGACGCCACCGTAATAATTGCTGATGCTGACAATACTCAAAATCATTGCAATAATACATGTAAAGAACAGGTGGAAAAGGGATTTCTTTCAGAAAATCTGAAAATGATACTTTACTGCACAGGTATTCCATGCTGTCATGTATACAAAAATGCTTACAATCAAGGACTGTCTGCAGCATATATTAAAACACAAAAACAGGCGAAGGCCGATGATGTTGAACAGAAGACGGTTAGGGTGGCAAGGGTTCCCAAACGCCTTTGCAAATGAAACAATAATTGCGGAGCGGGCGTGAGATGCGCTTCCGCGAGAATGCGGAAGTGCATTCGTGAACGTTTATGCGAATAGAGAAAGAAAGAGAGACAGACTCGTTGAAATGAAATGAAGTCTGCGTGCTGGCCAGCTGCTGCGCTGTAGACAAACAGAAACAGAGACAGACAGCTATCTGCTGCCGTGCTGTCACAGAGGGCCGGGAGGGCATACACGTATATAGCGCCGTTCCAGTGGAACGAAAGCCGGGCGTAGCAATAACCCACATAGAGTGTAGCAGCAAGGCACTACGATATACAGACGCACACACATAGACACACGCACATACACGCAGCCTTGCCTCATGCTCTCCCTTTCTCTCTCTCTCTCGCTCTGCTCATATGCTTACAGGGCAGCAGGTGGCCAGCATGCAGGTTTAATTTCAGCAATTTTGTCTTTCTGCACACTCCTCTCTGTATTCAATCTCACGTGCGCCGAATTTACTTTTACATGCATTACTGCAGATACGCTTCACACTCCCGACACGGTGTTCACTGTCAGTTGTAATATAAAATTGATGTAGTGCTCATCCCCACGCTCTCCAAGCTGCAAATGTTTACAATTGTGTTTCATTTTTGTTCGTAATGGAAACGCTTTGAATGTTTTCTTGTGCGCGCTCCTATCAGAATTTCATTCGCTAACACACATGAACTAATACTGTAAGGTCAGAGGAAAGGTGTGTGTGCGCGCGTGGCCCATTACGCAAACAATTATTTCCATAACTGGAATAACAGAGTGTGCTGGCGTTGCAATGGAACGGCCTATGTTATCAAATGCCCACGGTCCTGCAGATTACATCGCCTGCCCCCGCTTTCGCGTTTGCCGTGAAATTTTTGGAATGTGCTGACAGCAAGGCAAACTAGTGGCCGTTGGATAACCCGTTAACCGCAGTTAATATTGCTACTTGTTATGTTATGTTTTTGTCTGTTATGACAGCCGGAATAACAGTTTTGCTGTTATTGCACTGCAGCAGCCTTTGTTTTAAAAAGCCGCCGGTTCCGCCCTATATCACTGGGATGCGCTGCCCCATCGGGTATAACCTGCGCCCGGTCTCCGTTCCACTGAAACGGCGCCGTATACGTATTAATAAAATGCATGGCCCATTACACAACGTATTTTGAACTTGATCTGGCCAGGAGCTTCGCTCAACGGCACCGATGTGTACGGTGTGTACCGCATATACACAACATTATCAGCAGCGGCGCTTTGTCGCTCGCACGCAGCTGCACCTAGGCCAAGTTTCCGTAAAACTATGACCGAATCTCTTTGATCAACGCCTCTGGTCGAGATACAATAATGCGCTGACTAACTGCAGAAAGCAAGGGAATGAGGTTGAGACAGACACGCAACCCATACTCTTACACAGTCAGCAGTGAGCTTGAGCGCCTAGCGGATCCAACTTACGCCCGGTCCTCGTTTCACCAGAACGGTGCCGAATACTAAAATATACATTCGGCTACTGCATACTGCATTATACATTCATGCCGGTTTGGCTCGTTTGCCTTTGCAGTTCTGACTGGAAGCATAACGACACCTGTGGCGGCTGCAATTATGGAAAATGACACCCCAGCAGCAGCTTGCTTGAACATTTTGCACAGCAAACTAAATGACCGCATGGTCTGTACATGATTTCCCAATCATTTTCATAGCAGACTTTACAGCGTAATTTCTCTTTGGGGTCTTCGGAAGTTGTAGGTGCCGGAGCTTTTCGCGTTAGTCCACAACATGTTGTTTCGGTTTCTTGACGTCTTTTACGAACATCGTTGATGAACGCTGAACCCTTTGTTTGTACAAGATACGGACATTTTGGGTAAGTCCAAGCGTGCTCTTCCCACGGAACATCGTCTTTGTCCCAAGCATAAAGTGCACCGCCACAATGAAAGCAGCGTACACAGTCATCCCGGCCTTCATAATAAAAGCCGGCTGCAGCCATATCCCTGGGATGCTGGTGTTTGTTAACAGGCCGTTTAGCATAAGTAGTAAAGCGTGTCTTGTAGTCTTTCATTGCCGGTGAGTGCTGAATGTGTTTTCTCGATTCAGAGGACATACCGGCTATCTCATCCTACACTGGACGCAGAACATTTTTTTACGCACAAACGTATTCATTTAAACGTCTCTGTCCCGCGCTCCGCATCGCTGTTTACGAGCAGTTTATTACGCCTCATACCAACCTATAATTACTTGTATAGATAGCTGTTATCGCCAGAGTTATTAGTTACTGTTTTAACACAACTTCATTATTTATTATAATTTTAATTAGAGATTCGGGCCGTCACCTGCCAGACTTAAAGTCTTATTATTCAGATTCAGAGTTTAATATTCAGATTCACAGTTTCAGGATCAGAATCAGACTGTTAGTATTCAGACTCAGACTTTCAGCATTCAGAATCAGATTCAGAATCAGACTTTCAGCGCAGGCCTTTCAATCAAACCATGATGGCTGAAAACCGAATGGAGTTATTGGTCCATTGATTGTCTCATTTTGGTTGGGCGTGGCCTAAGTTCAATGGAATTCAAATAGGTGTTACCAAACCCACACACGCACAAAACGCGCGCAACCAGGAGCTTACCTGTATCAAACAACCAAATTCCGTGTTGGCCATCGGCCTGCTGATATTATCACTTGCAACGTCCACATTTCCCTACAAAAATATCCACCGATATCTCAAACGATAGAGAAGAAAATGACAAGAATTGTGATACCAGACAAGTTGCGTTTTATGGGATCTAAGCGAAAATTGAAGCACCTAAAGTTTCTCGTAGACAAAGCGTACTATTTCTGCGTGAAAACAGAAACCAGCCGTGGATTCAAATTCTGTACTTGGACTACGAGAAACATTAGGTGGCTCGACTTTCTTTTATATTCCGTAAAAAACAACTTGCTTGGTATCAATTTTTTTTGTCTTTTTTTCAGATATTGGTTGATGGTTTCCGTTCGGAAGTGTGCGCGGCGCAAGTGTTTGAATTCAGCATGAGTCTGTGCTCAGCTGCATGTTTCCAGTTTATTGGTCAAGTTATTGGTTATTTTGTCCTGACTAATAAATTGTCGGTCGCGGACCGAATGTAACACCTTTTGAAGTCCACTGCAAGCGTCTTACACTTGATGTTGTCATACCGCTTATTAACCCGTTCCACACGAAGCGTGTTAGGCCGACATGGTGGAGGACTTAAATTCTGTAGCTTTTTTGAACGCGATTAAGTCACTTTCATTGGTTTTATTACATAAAGCAGATGTTACATGACAGTTAAAAAAATACCACAATCCCAGACAACAGCGCAGTGACACACAGAGAGAGCCTAAAGTTGGTCAAATCAGAGCTGACGGAGTCCGTGGAGGTCTTCATGGTCTACACACTTTCAGAGTCTTCAGATTATTCCGTAAAAAATGTCACGCGTAATTCCTATAGAGTTAAACTTAAAAAAATGGAAGTAAAGGAAAAAGCAATAGCCAGTGGCCTTCGGTGGTCATCGAAACTTTTCGTGTCGAGTTTGACATGGATGGGCATTGAGCTCTCAGACAAACAGGGAAAAAATGAGAAGCGCTAAGTTAATTAGCTATCGAACTTTGGCGATATCCTCCAACGAGATATTGGCTTCCCCGTACTGCAATGGTCTTAATTTTAGGAAAAAACGTTTGATAATTCAAGAAACCTACACGGGAAGCTTAAAACTGCGAACTCACGTCTTTGTGCTCGTTGTTGTCGGGGAATACCTTCCCAATGGCGACCACCAATTCAATCGGATATACAACAGTCTGAATGTATCCCAATTTGTTGGCATTCTGCATTCGTAGAAAAATTATAAAATTGGACTACGGATTTGTAAGATATCCAAATCGTAATAAAATATTGATAAAAAAACAGCAGCTTCTCCACACCTTGAGCTTCCAGTAAATCGCACGATATATCTCGCTGCGGGCCTTCTTCCCACCGTGACCAAGGTCCAGCTGTTTCTGAACAGCTGACTCAAGCCATTTTGGCAAAACCAATCCATTTTTAACAAATAATTCACTGACAGGCTCCATTACGACAGAAATTGATATTTGCGAGTGAGATGGCAATAATATCATAAAGCTTCTGGAATATGTGGCATCACGATGAGCACATGAATAATTATGAAAATGAGATTGGGCATAGTGCATACTTAGAGCACCAGATCAGTGGTGGACGGCTGGGAGCGCAAACCTTTCCACTGGTAATTTCATTGTCTCATAGTCCCTTATGCGATACCACCGCTAAAAATTTTTGCTGGCGCGCATCGTTTCTTTGTTTTTTGGCTAAATCGCCTACTTATTTGCGCGGTATTCATTTTTCATTCCGCACGAACATTTTTGTAAAACGTTTGGAAGAAATATTTCAAAATGCCTCAAACACGAGCAAGAACGTTGCGTGAAGCCCAAGACATCTTGGAAGATTTGGCAACTATACCACATGGCGAAGTTGACATTGTTTGCCTGCCACCGGATGTTGCTAGTTGCTCCGACGAAGAGGACATCGATGACAACGACCTGAGTCCGCAGCTTCCAACCGATGTTTCGGGAGAGCTTGAAGTCTGCTACGACAGCGATACCGACGACCAGCCATGTGCCACCGAACAGCCGTCTAAGAAGCGAAAAGGTACGTCACCAGTAAATTTTCACGACAGTTTGGCGAAATTTCAGATGGGATTTAACAGGTGCGGGCCGTGGCCGGCCCGAAGTACCATGGGCGAACGGGGAGACGGACTTTCTGCCAATGTACAATGATCCCAACAACGTTCCCGTCAAACTAGCGAATGCACATCCCGAGCTTATTTCAGCTACACCTCTGGAGCTGTTCAACATGTATTTTGATGGAGAAGTTTCGGAATGGATCATTAGAGAGTCTGAACGCTACGCTGCCCAGAAGAACGCCAACTTTACCTTGTCGCCGGAAGAGCTACGCATTTTTGTGGGAACCCTGATTTACAGCGGCATTGTGAAGTTGCCATCACAGCGACATTATTGGATGCGGTCAGCATTGTTTGAATTCCCCTGCGTTTCGACAAAGATATCCCGAACCCGCTTTGAGGTATGTCCAGTTGAAAAAATTGACTTTTCCCCCAGGGGTTTTCCTAAATATCTCTGTAACGAGCCAGAATTCGTACTTCCTGTCCAGCAAACAATTTGTTGCTAAAAATAGGAGAAATTTAAATTACAAGAAACTTTTGCGAAACACTTAGTATTTTGGCAGTTGTGGCGTTTTCCCCCAGGGGTGAAACTTTCGAAAAATTAAAAAACTGAGTATATGATTCAATATTAATCACTACACTCTCATTGTAGGAAATCAAGAAATTCTTGCATCTGGCTGACAACAATAACTTGTTGCAAGGGGATAAGCTGGCAAAGGTCAACCCGTTCTTGGCGATTTTGAAGAAGAAGTTACTGCAGTTTGGATGGTTTGAATCGAAACTCAGCGTGGACGAACAAATGATCCCATACTTCGGACACCACTCTTGCAAGATGTTCATGCGGGGAAAGCCGTGCCGGTTCGGATATAAGCTGTGGGTGATTTGCGGAGCAAGTGGCTATCCATTCTTCTTTATGGCATACACCGGAAAGGAAGGTACACCTAACCTGAAGCCTCTTGGCTCAAGAGTGGTTCTGTCTTTGATCGAGAAAGTTGACCATCCTGAATTCCATACACTGTACTTCGATAACTTCTTCACTTCGTACAACTTGCTTGTTGAATTACGACAACTGAATTTCAAGGCCACCGGCACCGTACGCGAAAATCGTCTGCTGCGATGCACATTTCCGGATAACAAAGGCTTTAAAAAGACCGTGCGTGGCCATCACGCAACGTTTTCTACACTGGATGTGGTCACCGTCAAGTGGCACGACAATACCCCAGTTTGTTTGGCTTCAAACTGCGAGACTGTCGCGCCACTAGGAAAAGCAAGACGATGGAACGCATCACTGAAAAAGCACGTCAATATTGACCAGCCAAAAATGATCGGCAGCTATAACAAGTACATGGGCGGTGTGGATTTATGCGACAGGTTCATCAGTGATTACCGGCCGATGATTCGAACGAAGAAATGGTGGTGGCCATTCTTTGCCAACTCAATTTCTCTGATGACTGTAGCAGCGTGGCGTATCCACAGAGAGGTAGGAGGAAACCTGACACAGATCCAATTTTTATCGGAAGTTGTCGAAGGGTTGCTTCTGTCGGGACTGCAAAAGCCGGCTCGTCTTGGACCTTCAACACCAGTGACCAGCACTGTTCGGTTTGACGGGATCAATCACATTGTGGAAAGATGCAAGCGAGGCCACTGCAAATACTGCCGGCGTAGTTCAGCGTGGCAGAAGTGCGGAAGTGCAATGTCCGCTTGCACAAGGCCTGCTTCCCGTTATACCACAAACGTTAACTACGAAACTTGTTTGTCTTCCCTGGAAAAGGCTTTCCAAATTTTTTGCCATTTTTCTCATTTTCTACTGACTGTGTGTGTGATGAAACGACTGTGCCGGCTGCGATCTGTATTTCTGCAATTTTTATTTTTTCTTGACCACTGGTCATCTCGATGACCATCAGAATGCTCTTGTTTTTAAGTACTCGTTGAGATCTGTTGTTTGAGCTATTGTCGTATCCCGTGCGATTTTTGTAACTATTGTTATAAACGTAATTAGATAACATGTCGGCCCAACATGGTTCCCATGCGTGTTATTTCGACATGGTCATCTCCCGCTTGACCTATGGTCGGTAAAATTTTGAAAAAAATATTTTTCTCTTAATTGAATTTTTTTATCCCAGAATGCAAATTTTCAAAACCGTAGTCCTATCCCTTCTAGTACCCGGTTTTCCTGGGTTAAGTAAACGAGAAACGAGTCAAACAAACCTGGTATTGTAAAATCTGAGGTGTTGTAGTATACTAGGAGATGTCGTATGGCAAACATTTCACGAAACTTTTACACTGAATATCTGGTATGCCAATATTAAATCATAAAGAAATTTATTCGCCGTACGTTTAGATGTGTTTTCAAAATGGAGAAACCTAATATCTTGACAACGCGCAACGTTCTAAAGTGATACTTATTAGCACCAGTTACGCTCGCAGTGCGCAGTTTTTTTGCAATAGGATAGAGAGCGACTCTATTAATCCACTGAAAGTTTATGGTCGTGTGAAATTTAGACTAGCGATCAATTAGAGCGTGAAACAAATAACGATTTGCTTACTTGCTTACTAACCATTTCGAAAAAACTCAATAAATTATAGTTGTTCGAAAGAATGACGTATGTGCAACCGGCCTTTATATTTCAAGCAAAAAATGTAATTTGGAATCTTTTGCAGTAGTAAAAATAAGATAGGGGTTAAAGCTTACTAAAGAACCGCTTTCCTGTATGGTGAATCAGATTTTACCCAACGGCTACAATGTTTCGGATAAGTGCTAAAATAGTCTTTTCAAATTCTTCTAAGTTTTGGACTAAAATGTAATCAAGCAGTTGCCGTTACCGACCTCAAAAAATTCCATAATCCGCCTCCCAACATTGTGCACGAACAATAAAAAAATTCCGTCCTAAAGTATGTGTGAAGCTTTACAATTTGACCGCCTAAGATACACCTCAGAACAATGGCGCACCTTGTGTACTGAAGCACCCAAGGCGAGCCGCTCGATTTCAAACTGCCGAGAAGTATTAAAACTGCTATTTGACACCGTTTTTTTCCCACCGTTTTCATAAACACGGACAGAATCATAAACACGGATAGAAAAAAACAATTCAGTGAAACCTCGTATTTATTCCCGAAAAACATATAGACTTCCATTGTGTAAGATAAATACGAGGGTAGGCTATCTTCCCCCGATCGCTTTGCCTGCGCGAGTGCAAAACGATTGAACAGTCAGGTTGGCAACTTGCACACATCGGTTCGCAGTGTTTTGTTTGTGCAGATCAATACGGTCTGGTCTGGCAGGGTAGCAGCGCAGTAAGGTGGCAGGATATCAAACTAGTAGGGCAGCAGCATAACAGGTTGGTAAGGCAGGAGATTAGCAAACTGGCAAGGTAGCAGCGCAGCAAGGTAGCAGGATAGCAAACTAGCAGGGTTGCAGCGAAGCGGGCAGGCAGGGTAGCAGCGCAGCAGGTTTGTAGGGTAGCAGAGAAGTGATGAGTGAAATGCCATTTCACTGAACGGGAAAATGACCCGCCCCTGACTTGAATATTGATTCCCCCTAGGGGTCCAAGTGAAATCTGATAAAAGGGATTTCCTATACGTTAGGAAGCTACGCTTACGTCATTCTAATGAACCGGTATACGTATACCTGTGTACGTAAAAGTGAAAACTGATTAAAAGTAATTGATTAAAGTTAAAAATGAAGTTTAACTCAACTTCAGGGAGGTACGTAAACGGTATCTATGTACTACGTACGCGTATTAATACAGTATACGGAATATTAATACAATTACTGTACTACAATACGTATTAATACGTTTACGTTAACTCTAAATGTCAAAACTAAGAACTGGGCAAAGTTATGAAGTCGTTATCACTTTATACGGTATCCATGTGTATACGCAAGCGTATTATTACAGTATACGCAAGTGCAACACGTAGAAATCGGTTTGCGTTATGGTTAAATGCCAAAACTTAAAACTAATTAAAATGTTACAAAACAGAAATCGCAGGCATTACAACACATGTTTAATATTATTGATGTTACTCAAGCAATTATTCTTACCAATAATTATTTTTAACGCATTTTGGCTTCAGTTAATCATCTCGTTAAGATCATGTACTGCGTTTACCACGCTATGTTCTTCCCATTACAGCACGAGTGCTTCTGCACTGTACTTTGTTATTTTCCCAACTACTTGATTAATAGCAAAGTTTTCCAAAAATTCCTAAAATAACAGGTTATTTTTTATTTTCGATTTTCTTATTTGCCTGCCTGATTATTAGTAAATGTTCAGATCAGTGTGCAATTAATTTTACAGCATAATCAACCTGAATTAGTTATGTTGTAATTTTCGCCTGCATGGAAATACAGTCGAACTAAAAATATTTACGATTAGGTAAATGCATGTACAGTGGCGTTACAAACCAGTGCGTATGCTTATGCCATTTACTTACAACCGTTGCTACCGCACTTTGTCTCTTGGCCCTGTTCTCACAGGCATGTTCAGAAATGGACTCTGTCCAGCATTCAGCTGTTATCACTGACAGAAATGCATATAGAGTATAGACAGATGCATGCATGCAGATGTTAGGTCGTACAGCCTGCAACTACGCACACTACGCAACAAAGTTTAATAATCGATAACATAAAACTCTGAGCGCACATACTATAATTAAAACTACCAGCGTTATTGTACGGACCTTAATTTAATAAAATATCATTTAGAACGGTATTGTGGTTTTCTCATCCTGCACGTAATTATTATATTACAATTGTTAAAGCTGGTTATACTAACGTGCAAAAGAAGGATTACATTATTATGCAGCGATGATAGCAGTATTAGTTGTTTCTTGGTTTTACTGAATTAGAATTCATTGATAAATTTCTATGGAAATCCTGCAAATCGTTGTGTCAAGCCGAACATTAGCGCTTCTGAGTGCCAATTAATTGTTTGCACTTTGTTTTCGACAGTCATTACTATCTGAACATCACCACGGGCAATCTAGCTGTTCCGGGAAAGAAAATGGAAATCAGCAATAGAATCATTATTCTAGAAGTATTTAGCCAAGTGAGATGTAGTTCTACGTGCTCTACACACTTCATGATTAATTAAAGCGCAGCCTTCATACAAAAAAGAGTAAAATTAATATCCGTGCATGAAATTAATACCCGTGCTGCTCAAATGCTATGGGGTTTTACAGCGCCGTTATTTTGCATAATCAACTTATATATGTAGAGTATGAGATGCTACCGTTTGTGAACTTTCGCGGCTGTCGGAATGGAGTGTGATTATTGCGCATGGCAAAAAATGACGAGAATGAGAAACCTAAGAAACCTAATAATAAACTTGAAAATCCTCAGAAAACCTAAGAAAACTTAAGAAAGCCTAAAAACTAAGAAAACCCAAAAAACGTAGGAAACCGAAGAAACCTA